ATATATATATATATATATATATATATATATATACTCTTGCATGTCTCTTGCATGGCATCAAAAAAAAGTTTCCCATAAACTGTAGTTTTAAAGAGCGCGTTAATAAACCAGACCAGAAAAAGTTTTGAAAATTAATTTTTTTTTTTAATTGATAGACTGCCTGGCCAAACCAAACCCTCAGTCGATGTAGCAGTACTCTCTTGCGAGTCAGGCTATTTGTCAGTCGTTGTAGCAGCACTCCCTTGCGAGTCAGGCTATTTGTCAGTCGATGTAGCAGCATTCCCTTGCGAGTCAGGCTATTTGTCAGTCGATGTAGCAGCACTCCGTTGTGAGTCAGGCTATTTGTCAGTCGATGTAGCAGCACTCCGTTGCGAGTCAGGCTATTTGTCAGTCGATGTAGCAGCACTCCGTTGCGAGTCAGGCTATTTGTCAGTCGATGTAGCAACATTTACGCATGTTTTAAAAATGTTTTTTATTAAATCAATAACAAAAACACCACTAATTAAAAAAAACTTTCTAGTCGTTATAATTGCGGTTTTTTAAAAATTTTTTAAAAAACAATTAAATTTAATGTACTTCCGCATAAATTAATTGCTTTGACATTTCGATGACAATCAAAAACAGCTTAAGAGACGAGGTAATTAAAATTGTAGTCGAAAGAGACTTTTTTTTACATAAAACGACTCTTTCGACTACACTATAAGGATATATATATATATATATATATATATATATATATATATATATATATATATATATATATATATATATATATATATATATATATATATATATATGTATATGTATATGTATATGTATATGTATATATATATATATATATATATATATATATATATATATATATATATATATATATATATATATATATATATATATATATGTATATATATATATATATATAAATATATATATATATATTAGGCCTTGCAATAAAGGCCTGATATATATATATATATAAATATATATATATATATATCAGGCCTTGCGATAAAGCGTCGGACGATGAGAATTTTACGTCGTCCAAGAACGATTTTGAGTGTAGCTAGGGCTATTTGCGTCGAGCAAAAAAATTTTTACAATTCTGCTCAGAAATATCTTTAAATATTGAGTATATTTAAAGATATTTCTGAGCAGAATTGTAATGAAGTAATTTACGATTATTTTAACATTAATAAAGTATTTTAAAAACCGCACGCAGTTGATATAAAAGTTTGAATTACAAAAAAAATAAATATGCTCATTATTTACAAGTAGAAAAAATTAAGATTAAAAAAAAGTTTAAATCTTTTTAAGCTAGCATTTTAATAAAATTATTCAGCAATAGCAAAGTTGTCGATAAAATTGAACAAAAATACTTTCTTTTAGTTTTAGATTTTTAACTTAAATAATTATTTTACGGGGGTTTGCTAGGTTTTAAAATTATTTCATAGATTTAAAAATATTTATTAACTGTTAGACGAATTTAAAGTATTTAAGAGTAATTTCGAGGAAACATTTTAAAAATTGGTAAGCGCAAATAATAAAAAAAAAGGATTAATATTAAAATGTATTCTACTTGATTCGATAAAAAAGTACAATTATTAAAAGTTTTGTTAAAAGTAACTCGAAAAAAATTACTTAAATAATAACAATCGCTTTTTTGTTAAAAGTTACCAAAACTCAACGAAGCATGCTCAAGAACAGCTGCTGAAAAATAGAACGTCAATAGTTTTTCGAATAATTTTTAATGATTTTTAAGAATGATTTTTTCGCTGAAATATTTCTTTTATACCTAAAAGATTTTTATTCTAACATTTTATTTTATTTTATTTTACCAAAAATAAAATTCCTTGTAAACATTAAAAGTCTATTCAAAAAGTTTTTTAATAATACGAGTGATTGTGCTTATCAACCGCTTTATGAAAATAAAAAAATATTATATAAAATCACTAGTAAAAATATTAGCTATTGCACAGTTTTTAATCGTACAATATTAAAATTTCCAGTTTATTACTCTCTGACTTTTTAAAAAGAAATAATTATTTGAAAAACTTATGTTTTTTATTCGTTTAGTATAGACAAAACATGTCAAACGTCGAGAAAATAAACAAATGTTTTTACATTTTAAAAAACAAAGCATTCCAAAACATTTTTAAATAATAACATTTCTACATTAATGATTTAAAGTAGTTTTGCGGTAATTAAGTAAATTGGTGCAGTTAATTTCGATAAATATAAAAAGCAAATAAAAAGAATTTAATGACGTCAAAAATCACGTCGTGCTTATGCGTCGCGCAGTTTTTATTCATCACAAGGCCTGATATATATATATATATATATATATATATATATATATATATATATATATATATATATATGTATATATATATATGAAGAGCTTATTTTCAAAACACGTTAAGGGACATTTTCGAAAAAATTGCCTCAACTGCCCATTATTAATATAAAAAAAAAAAAAATACTTTTAAGTCATGTTAGCAAC